GCTCCTAACTAACTATATTATTTAGGTAGTATATATATATCTATATATATATATATATATATATATATATATATATATATATATATCACTTTTCTGACATATCTGACCTTTTTAGTTTTTTATTGTCAAGAAGATTGTCACATTTTATATCTTAAGGAATACTAATTCTCACTATTTAATTTCTGTAGTGAATATTGGTGTATCGAGAAAATAGAAATAAACAACTTTTATGTCTACTTTATGTTTCTTGTTTTGATTATTTTCCTAGACATATTTGTTTAATTATCTTGTATTGTTTCTACTCACCAGTAAGTCTCTCTTTTTTTCTTATAACAAAAACGGTTTGATATTAAAAACGATAATAATAGGTTAAAAGGAAAAATGTTACACACTCTGCCTTAGTACTAGAAAAACATTAAAATAACAATATAGAGGAGGCGACTAGAAACGCAAGTTTTAATGAAAGAACTTTCTAGCAGTACATTTGAATCAAGTTAACTACACTGAGATATGCAATAATACACATACACAAAAATTATAATTAAATAGCTAAAGACAAAATTTCTAAAAGTTACACGAAGATATTCATCCAAGCCGGACTTCTAAGATTTTCCGACAATATTTTACACCATCTTAAAAAAAAAACACATGTTACCGTTCATTAAAACCATGCCCTCCATCTAGTAAAACTGACATTCCAAGATGACTTAAGGGTCCACAAAACTAATCACCAGGAATTATAAACAAAACCATCTAGAACAATTATTTTCGAAGATAGAAATTTCCTTGTAAATTCTTGCTTCAAATATAAAACGTAGAAACTTACTCTTCTTGCAACTGAACCAAAGTCTCCTCTGCCTGCTGAAGACTTTGTAAATCCCTCATCATCTTCTGTAAGTGTTTCTGTGAAAACTTATGTTGAACATAAGCAAACCAGCAACCTCCAGTAGCAATCACAAGTGATAGCACCAGCAAGATGTCCTTTAGATAGTTATAATCTGTTAAAATTATAAACACAAAACATTAGTACCTCTGCTAGAAGAATGTTCTTTAGATAGTTATAATCTGTTAAAATTATAAACACAAAACATTAGTACCTCTGCTAGAAGAATGTCCTTTAGATAGTTATAATCTGTGAAAGTTACAAAAACAAAACACTAGTACCTCCACTAGAAGAATGTCTTTTAGACAGTTATAATCTGTGAAAGTTACAAAAACAAAAGACTAGTACCTCCACTAGCAGAATGTCCTTTAGACAGTTATAATCTGTGAAAGTTACAAAAACAAAACACTAGTACCTCCACTAGCAGAATGTCCTTTAGACAGTTATAATCTGTGAAAGTTACAAAAACAAAACACTAACACCTCCACTAGAAGAATGTCCTTTAGACAGTTATAATCTGTGAAAGTTACAAAAACAAAACACTAGTACCTCCACCAGCAAGATGTCTTTTAGACAGTTATAATCTGTGAAAGTTACAAAAACAAAACACTAGTACCTCCACTAGAAGAATGTCTTTTAGACAGTTATAATCTGTGAAAGTTACAAAAACAAAACACTAGTACCTCCACTAGAAGAATGTCCTTTACATAGATATAATCTGTGAAAGTTACTCAGTATACCAAATTTACATTTACAACCCTTTTTTGAATGAGATCAATTTAAAAAACAATAGTAACTGCTATATGCTACATTTTAAATGATTACCAAAACAAACGTTTTTGTCTTGTTTATTTTAGACCAAAGCCACGCTATCCACTGCGGGAGGAATCAAACCTTGGATTTTAGCACTGTAAGTCCATAAACTTACCGCTGTCCCACTGGAGAACATCAAGGCATGCATACTGATATTCAATATTTTCAGATATACTTACAACGAGGAGGACCAAAAAGCACCACATCCATTGCCTTTAAAGCAAGTTTCTGTTTATGAATAGGATCTTTGATTCCAAGTGAAGTCATGAAAAGTTGATCATTTACAGCCATTCTGAAAAAACAAAATAAAGAGTTCTTACAGATACAATCTAAATGAAGTATAATAATCATTTTATGTGATGAAACGTTACAACAGACAGCTTATATTTTCAAATATAAGGTGTAGCTCTAATATGATACTCCCTCTGAATTACAGGTACACTCTCTCTCTTAAGAACAAAAATTGTGAAAATTCTACATTGTGCACTTAAAACTGTATGATGGTGTTCTACACTTTTTAAAACTACATTTCTTTCCAATAAAACGACTTTGAGAAATCTTATAACCCTAATCTTATCCTAATTTATAACCCATTTATCTTAATGAACCCTTGTACTTCAAAAGCCAATTAAAGCAGAGAGGGAAAATGTAAACAGTGGATGTTATAAATTGAAAACTTAAGTACATTGTAGAATTTTGTTTCTCAGAATACCGGCATCTTTTTTTCTATCTCAGTGGAACAAAATGGGATGTAATGAAAAATGAAAACGATATTCAAAAAAAGGCCAGAAAACGACTTCAAAGAAACTATTTTCTTTATCCGATACTGGAACAATAATAATAATTTTACAGGGGCTAGGCAGTTAATAGAAGAGCATTTAGTTTAAAACCAGAAGAAGTTCCTTAAATTTGCTATAAAGCAGTTTTAAAAAACACTTCAATATTCTGTTACAATATGATGTCTCATCAATTATGCCATGCAAAATGACGAAACATGAAGTGGCGGTTTCTTTGCTACCTAGATTAGCAGTGACACGAACATATTCTTTGAAATGTTCCTGTATCGGACAGCTAGATTTAGCCATGTACGTGACCAAACATTTCAGTGTTCTTTAGGTGTGCAGGATTCCTCTAAGAACTTTTTGGACTTGCATGAATGATTAAGAATATTCTTCAGAGTTTTACTGGTTTTCTATATAACGTGATTATTCAAACTAGATCTTCTAAGAACTTGATGAAGAAGATGTATATAAAGGTTCGTCCACAAAAGGTAAGACCCACGAAACAGTGCTTTTGTATGTTGGTTTCCTTTTTTGCTGTCTTATGCTAGAATCTTGCGAGTCAAATTTATGAAATGTAACTATATGACGGAAACATTGTTGCCTAGAGTGACACCTTTAGTTTGTTTACAAAGGGTTAAATTTAATTTAAAGTAATTGTTATTTAAAACAAGTCTGAGAGAATGAGTTCTGCAGAGTTATCACCGATAGTGAAAAGGAGAAGAGAAATTAAAACTTTTAATATTCATAACCCATCTTATACTTCTTCTGTGGTGATGGAGAGTAACAAACAGACAACAGCAAAGAAGATAGTGTTTGAAGTAATCTGTAACCCATCTTCATGCAATAGTTGACAAAGTAACTGGTGCTAGTTAGGTGTGATGGTATTATGTTAAGAAGAAGGTGAAATACCTTTTGAAATAGCCAAGATACAGAAACTAATGAAGAGTTAGATGAAGAAACTTAGGTCTTAGAGGAGTTTCAGATTTATGATTGTTCGGTAATCCATATAGTTCGGTAATCCATATAGTTCGGTAATCCATATAGTTTGGTAATCCATATAGTTCGGTAATCCATATAGTTCGGTAATCCATACAGTTCGGTAATCCATACAGTTCGGTAATCCATACAGTTCGGTAATCCATATAGTTTGGTAATCCATATAGTTCGGTAATCCATATAGTTTGGTAATCCATATAGTTCCGTAATCCATACAGTTCGGTAATCCATACAGTTCGGTAATCCATATAGTTCGGTAATCCATATAGTTTGGTAATCCATATAGTTCGGAGGTTTTCAATGAAATGGTCTTAGATTGTCTAAGAATCGGACGAATATAGTTTTACTTTTAAAGTTCTTCAAAATATCTTTAGCAGTTTTTTCATTTATTTTGTAAAGTCTAGCAAGCTATAGCACATAGATAGACATATCATTGAGACGTGCCTTAACTGTTTCAACGTAAGAGGAAGTATTCATTAGAAGGAAACATTTACATGCCTTAATTGTTTCAATGTAAGAGGAAGTATTCATTCGAACAAAACATTTACATGCCTTAATTGTTTCAACGTAAGAGGAAGTGTTCATTAGAACAAAACATTTACATACCTTAATTGTTTCAACGTAAGAGAAAGTATTCATTAGAACAAAACATTTACATACCTTAATTGTTTCAACGTAAGAGGAAGTATTCATTAGAAGGAAACATTTACATACCTTAATTGTTTCAACGTAAGAGGAAGTATTCATTCGAACAAAACATTTACGCTTGTCACTCACTTTCACAATCATGTTATCATTCTTTTGAATTTCACTGACAGCTCACCACTTGTTTATTGAAAGACTGGATTTAGCATCATAATTCTTAAAGCAACTTATCAACATCATTTTTAAATTCCTCAATATTGTTTACAGTAGTAGAGCATGCTCTGGGAGAAATTGGTTTAGGAAAATAAAAAAAAAGATACAGGAGTCCTTCACATAAGAAAAATTATATTTTTTGCAGTCTTAATTTGTAGAAGGATTGATGAAGAGATAATCTAATATCAAAAGCTTCCTTCTTCCTAAGTTGAGCCGAAATAGCGAAATTAGAATCTTCAAAGAGAAGGAATATGTAGTCCTTTGAAAGTTTCGTAGCATTTAAGAATCTTATGTTGCCTAGAATTGTAATCCTATACTTCAATATAGGATCATCCAAATTACTTACAGATGTTAGTTTCTTCTTTGTTGTGCATGCTAGTTTTTAAACTTGTTTTTCCAATCATTTTTTACTGTCTTCCTATTCTTCTAACTTGATTTGATTAACAATATTATATATCCACAAGCAGAAACTATCTTCATGAGATTTCTCCATAATATCTTGATTGCACTTAATTAGGGTTAGATGTTTAGATTTATTACTGTACGTGGCATAAACGACATCACGAAGAATGTCATTTAAAAATATGTTTTGAAATCAGAGAGACTTACTATTAATAAGAACAAAATCTGGAAGCCTTACCAACTAAATTATACCAGAAAGTACCAGTTGATGACAGTTAGAACAATATTAGATTAAGAGTATAAAAAACAGTTTTATTTCTTGTTTTTGAAGTTCATATGTCTTGCTGCGTTGTAGCCTACAGAGTGCATAATTCGTCTTGTGATTCATGGCATGCACACATTTTACTAACAGTCACTACGGTACAAATTGCAACATTAAGCATCCCTTATGTGCCACCATTTTAGTGTCTACTGACTAGCTGACAGACAACATTGGTGGTGTGAGTGGTTAAAAGAGGTGACCCCTCCAAATGGCCTTCGATCCCCTTTCGGGGAAACTACAACAATAAAATTGAAGTGGTGCATATTGAAATGTTCTAAAAGCACTGTTAAAAGAGTTAGTCACTAATCACAATAATAAAATAAACTTTAAATGGAAATTAAGGAATCTTTTCTGATTCTGATAAATAAAACTGTCATATTAAAAGAAGTACTATTTGAGAAGTATCAAACTATAATACTTCAAATTATGAAAATTTAGCATAGAGAGAAGTACCACTTGAGAAGTATCATACTACAATAGTTCAAATTATGAAAATTAGTATTAATAAGTACCCTAATATTATCTCTTAAATCAAAATATATCTCACCTAGGTAATGTTGCACCATTAACAGAGCGTTTCTGAAAATTCTGAATGTACTGAGGAAGTTCTACGTGACTGATTAGCCAATCACCAATGTCTTCTACTGTCCAGTTGTGTACTATAAAAGAAAAAAAGGCACATGACTATAGTGAAAAAAAGCTAAAAATCTCGGGAAATATACGATTGAATTGAAAGGAATTCAAGAGTAGTTCCGATAATGATTTCTTGTACATTAAACCTACTTATAAACATATGTATAAATCGAAAAGATAGACAATCTGTCATTTATAGAGGTTAAAACTAAATTCATATCAGCAAAAAACTACAGTAAATGGAACAAGCAGTCAGAAGTTTTGATCCTGGAGAAACTAGTTTTGAGACATTCATGTGTCCTCTTCAGTCTCGGACTAAAGAGGACACATGAATGTGTCAATCTATTTTCTCCTCTATTTACTGTGGTTTTTCTCTGACTGCTACACTTGATATTGTGTTCTTTTGCAACTAATTTCATACCATTAAATTTTAACTTCCTAGTGGATTTAATAGTTAACTAAACATTCCAAGGTTTTTAAGGTTCTGAAAACTGGTAAATCTATGAAAAAACAACCCTTATTTCAAGATATATTTCAAGTATTAAAAATAAAATTAAACAGAGCCAGGTAATGATGGAAATTTATATAACAAATAAATACATTTGTACATGATCTTTCAATATTCAATTTTCTTTCTTTTTTTTACATATAACAACATTTAAAATGTGCAAATACTAAGAAGTATAGCTGGAAGATGACTTCAGGGGAGTTATTAGTAAGTGCTTTACTAGTAATAGTTAGTGGGTTAACCCTTTAGTACAATTGATAAAGTAGTTGTCTGGTGTGTCAGACTTGATACCAAAACAAGAAAAGAAAAAAAAAACACTGAATTACCACAAAAACATTGGCACCAACCAGTGGTCATCCCATAACCCTAAGTTACGGCCGAATAATAGGCCTTGCTTGAGAGAGGGGGAGGAGGGGAAAACAATGCGGTAGCTTGATTTATTAAAAAGTGCCTTACGAGCAACTATTAGCGGGTTAATCAACCCTTTAGCTCAGTTCGTCAAACATTTGCTGTACATGCGGGATGTGTGGTTTGTTACTGTGCCAAAGAAATAAAAAAAATATTTGTTAACAAACAGTTATTATTATTAAATTTCAGAACTATAATCAAAGCAAACATTCTCAGAAAATTTAGCAAGTCTACCTTACGACAGATTATTACCTTCTGATAATTTCCACATTTTCCACAATTCGTCGACACTAATGTACTTGTCATTACCATGGAAACCTTTCTGTCTTTCGTAGCCATTTTCGTAATGCAATTCATCTCGTAAAAACTTGATAAAAAAAAAGAGCAATTGATAAATTTAATTTACGTAGGAAAATAAAATTTTAAAACATAAGCTAAATTTAATATACAATTTTATTATTTATATTACAAATGTTAATAATTTAATTCTTACAACTTCCAGATTTCTATTAAATAAACAGAATAAAACAGTGCTACATAATTCTAATTTCTAGGATTCAAACTACTTTATCATAATCACGTAATAAAAATATTACTCCAATTTACTCGCGACTGAGATAGTAAGAGTATGGTGTTCTTGATTCATTTACAAGTTACTGAGATTGAAACAATATGATAATATCAGTTTTGTACTTGTAACTGTGATAATAAAAGAATGGTACTCTTGATTAATGGCTAGCAACCGAGGTAGAAACAGACTAGTACAAATGTAATATTGAAGTTACAAGTAACTAAGATAAGACGAGGATTCTTTTAGATCACGAGGGATTTTTATGTTGCTGGCAATTAGAAATATATTTACCCAAATAAACGTATCACATAATTTAACAATAATCATCAGAATTTTAGTTATGGAATTTTTTAAATCCCAAATGAAGTTTCATTCAGCATTATAGATTTGAAGGTACACTTGGATTTCAATCACTGTAAGGAGAACAGAATGTTCAATGTTTCATCAAAACAGTAATATTTAGTAAAAACGGTCAACATTTCATCGAAACAGTAATCATTAGTAAAACAGTCAACATTTCATCGAAACAGTAATCATTAGTAAAATGGTCAACATTTCATCGAAACAGTAATATTTAGTAAAAACGGTCAACATTTCATCAAAACAGTAATATTTAGTAAAAACGGTCAACATTTCATCGAAACAGTAATCATTAGTAAAATGGTCAACATTTCATCGAAACAGTAATCATTAGTAAAATGGTCAACATTTCATTAAAACAGTAATCATTAGTAAAACAGTCAACATTTCATCAAAACAGTAATCATTAGTAAAATGGTCAACATTTCATCGAAACAGTAATCATTAGTAAAATGGTCAATGTTTTTTGAAATTTTCAAGTTTATCACACTTTAACTGCATTTGTTGTTTTACATTGTAAAGAAATGTTTAAATATCTTCTACATCCATTTGAAGAGCTAAATACAAACATCTGTTGTGTCCTTATTAATCTCACTATTCTTCAGCGAAAGAACATAACTCACATTAATTTAGTTATGAGGTTACTCGTTAACAAAATTGGTCATTTTTTCAAAGTAATTTTCTCAGATCAAAATTATTTCTTAAGCAAATTAATATATTCCAAAATCAATAGAGCAAGAAAACCCACCTCTCTACTACTTAGCTGATGTTTAAAAATACACAAGAAAAAATTTAGAAGTCCTTCTTACTTCGTCACTCTCTGCAACATCGACACTTCCATTAGCATCGTCGTCCAGTTTCTGATGAAGGGTGATAATGGCTTCAAGTCCAGGAATATCAGCACAGGCACCAGGAAGATCCTTGCAATCAATGCCTAATTTATAATAAATACAATCGTCTTTTATAATACTATAACATACATAAAACTCAATACAGGAATTTTCAAAGTGAAAACCAAAGCTTATAACTAATGAATTAAAAATCTAAATGTTAATTAGATAAAAAAAAAAAGCTTCATGTCAATGCATTCACATCTGAAAAGATAACACTTTCCAAATATTATTCTTTTTTCTAATTTAAGAAATGAAATAATATCACTCTCAGTTGACATAATGACAGCTTTGGGAAAAGGTTGAATGAATTTTATCTTGTGGTAAAACCTTTTTTTTTTTTAAGCATGTTTTTACTAACAGAACTTAAAATTCTAAGACCGATGTTGCCCTAAAATTATTTGATTAAAGTGAAATAATAGAATAATACTTATTCGATGCTTTATATACCAAACATTTAGCTGGTAGGAAGAAAGAAATAATGGAATATTATTTATAACAAAAATCTATTTACAAAGCATATACTTTTTGGATTTGTACATTTTTTTTATACTTTCTTACATTAGAAATAACGTAACATTCTGTTCTTGAAATAAGTGCTGAAATATTAATCTGCAGCTGAAATATTCTTTCAGCTGTAAACCTCAATTTTTTCAAGTTTTAATAAAAATACTTTTTTCATTCTATTTCAGTATTATAATTTATGCCCCAACGTCAAAATAAAAGGTGACATAATGCATTTAACTTATTTTCATAACACAAATAAAAATTTTAATCTTAACATAGCAAGCGGTTGCTGTACTTTATGTGCATTAATTACTCCAATATTTTGCATAAAAAAAATTTAATTTCAAAAGAACATGAAATATTAGCTTAAATAAAAAAATTGGGGCTGCCATTTGGAAAACAAAAATGTGTATAAAATGAAAATGATTACGGGGCACAATAGAAATAATTAAAATATAAATTCCCATTTCAACTGTTTTTAAATGTGTAAGTAAAAACAGGAAAGAATCTCTCTAAGAGAAAAACAATATAGGAAAAAAGATTTTCTTTAAGCACAATTAAGTAAACCTATTACACTATGTTCCTTTTGCATTCCTGCCAGTTGTATGTACTGAAGCATATAAAAAGCATGTGATTGATACATCTTCAAACAATATGTAATTATATCTACCTCGTTTCACGGACAAATCAATGGAGACAACTTGGTCGACTGTTTCTAAAATTAAAACCACCGATTGTAAATGTTAAATAAATTCTGACCTTCTCTTTTATATATCTGTTATGAAGACTGATGTGAAAAAGACTCGGATATAACAATCTGTCTGTGTTGCCTAAACAACAGTTACAACACTGTGAAAAGTAACACAACTTAAACTTTAATTATGTAAGGCATATAAAGTCGGTTGCCTTTTTTTAAAGTTTTTTTAAGTTAATTATTTTCACTATGCATAAAAGCAGGAGATGTGGCAGGTAAACCTATATTTCAAGTTACTGGCTTTTAGTGATATGTATGCTTATCATCATAACCCCTGCCTTTCTGAACTGAGTACACTACTTATTATTGTAATCACTGCCTTTCTGTGTCAGGTACATTTATTATTATAATTACTGCCTTTTTGTACTGAGTACACTACTTATTATTGTAATCACTGCCTTTCTGTGTCAGGTACATTTATTATTATAATTACTGCCTTTTTGTACTGAGTAAACTTATAATCACTGCCTTTGTGTACTGATACACTTATAATCACTGCCTTTCTGTACTGAGTAAACTTATAATCACTGCCTTTTTGTACTGATACACTTATAATCGCTGCCTTTGTGTACTGATACACTTATAATCACTGCCTTTTTGTACTGAGTACACTTATAATCGCTGCCTTTCTGTACTGAGTACGCTTATAATCGCTGCCTTTCTGTACTGAGTACGCTTATAATCGCTGCCTTTCTGTACTGAGTACGCTTATAATCACTG